AGATGATAGATAGATAGATAGATAGATAGATAGATAGATAGATAGATATAGATAGATGGTAGATAGAGGTGGATGATAAAGAAGATATAAATACATAGATAGAGAGACAATAAATAGATAAAGTTGTTCCTCAAAACAGCTTTTTAAGACAGGTGCTATTATTTTTTGCTCACCATTTACAGGTGAGCAAATTGAGCCGTGCCTGTTTCTCCCACCCTATAAATCTGTCTCTTTAAAAGGTAGTTGACTTACACTCTGAGCACACCTGGTCCACTTTTATGAGTCTTCTGTGCCCACTGTTATATTGGCTTTTGTGCTGTTGTGCTTCTGCTAGTTAACCAGCATCCACAGACCAGCAGACTAACTTTTTATGCCAAAAGGCCAGTGGTACAAAATGGCATTTTCGACTATCAAAAGAGAGGTTCTGCAAATCCACAGGCAGAAGAAAATGTACAATAACAGGTGGCATTTGTGTAGCTCAGTGTACAGAAATGCCCCAGGGCACAATCCTGTGTCTCAGAAACTCCGTGCTAATCCCACGGGAAATTCACTCCACAACGGACCAGTGGCATGAATGGTCAAGGCTCCTGAACTCACCTGGCTTGCAGTGACTGATGGCTTCTGTAGTTTTATAATATAAAAAATGCCACAGGGTCACCTTCAGTCAACATTATGCACGATCTTTCACTGATAGGACCCTCTCCAGAACAGACAGAGACCAATAATCAAATTTCCTAATCCACATTAGACTGTTGATTGCTGGCAAGACTGGCTGTTTATAAGGTTGAGATTCATATGAAAAGCAATTTCAGAGGTAGGAAGCCTCCTTCACTTCGCTTTTCTTTCATTTCGTTAAAACAGATGTGCTTTGGAATCAAGTCTTGGTTCTCCCACCTGCTAAATTTGTTAATATGAAGGAAATGTTTAATTTTGCTAAGCCTCAGTTTTCGCAGCTGTAAAATGGGGATAATAAACCTATTTCCTAGAAGAACTGAGACACCACTTGGATTTCTGCAATAGATTAAATATAGGCTTGAACTCATCTGTTCTAATAGGACCCACTCCCCGTGGCTAACAAAAATTATGCCCTCCACCTCTACTTGATTTGGCTATGAAATGAATAGCTTTAGCAGTAAGCATGGGTACTGCGGAAGGAGACTTGGTTATAATTCCAGCAAACCCAATTAAATTGATGTCATCTATATACTAGTTTAGGAATGAGAAAAACTCATGGAGACTAGACACATAAGTAATCAATAAAATGCCCTAGTAAATTCAAGAGAAAAAAAAATGTGTTGAAATTATGATTCATCATCATTCCATATAACTTATTTGTGACTATATTTAATAGCCTAATTAGCAATAAAATTTTATGAGTTAACACCACCATGAGAATACTCCCTTCTACATTGTTGTTTTATCTGTAGACTTGTGACACTACCATGACCATCTTGATGTGTTTTTACACATTTTGTTCAATGAACCCAAACGAACTTGCGCTAATTAGATTTTTAGCTGCCGGTCTTGATTTTACGAGTTTGAATCCGTAGACCTTCAGAGGATGTGTGCTGTTAGGGGTGGTGAAGACGTCAGATTTTCTTATACAAAGAAGAAATATGGGAGAGAAAAGTATTTTACCAGGGTTTAAATTCTCTTTCTTAAATGATTATTTCACAATCTTTAACTTGAGATATTTCTCTAAATGACCAAAAATATATATAATAAAAACTCCTTTCTGGCTATTTTCAGAACTCCTAGTTATAACTATGCACCGAATATGGACAAACACTGGATCATGCAGTACACAGGCCCCATGCTGCCCATCCACATGGAATTCACAAACGTTCTGCATCGCAAAAGGCTTCAGACTTTGATGTCAGTGGATGACTCTGTGGAAAGGGTAAGCCCATGAACTTGCCTCTGCGGTCGGTTTCGGTCCCGCTTCCCCTGCGTAGACCCATCTTGCTCATCCTGTTTGGTTGTGATTGCTGTTGTTTTTTGTTCATTTTGTTTTATTGAGAGAGAGAGCGCGCGCGCGTTTAGTGAATTCATCAGCCTTCCTTTATCTCGTGTCCTCCCTTATCACCTCTCCAGACTCCGTTCTTATGGAGCCAGGGGCAGAGAGGAGATAAAAATCAAAACATCGTAAGTCAAGGCCGACACCCACAAACACCTTCAGCAATTAAGCAAATAATGCGAGGAACTAAAGCAGGTCCAGTTTAGGGCCATAGGAAACGGTGGGGTTTGTGGTGAACTTGAAATTAAGCACCCCATCCAAAGCAGGAGCCACTACTAGCGCCAGCTAGTTTTTGCCACATGCAAATGTGGGTAATCGGTGTCATAAACTATATAAATGTCTAACCAATGTACTGAATGCTTGAAACTAATAATAAAATTAAACGCTTAAAGTAAAAAAAAAAAAAAATGGATCCAGCATCATCAGATCTTCTGAATTTTTAAATAATCCAGCAATACAAAAATTTTATTTGAAACTTTATGAATTTTAAAATGTAACATAAGCCAAGCAAGACCTGCCTAACGGCTAGATCTAGCTCAGAAGTAGCCTGTTTTTAACCCTTGAAAACTAGCTAGAAGAGCAATGCTATTAAAATTTGCTTTAACTGTGGATTTTTCAAAGTAAAATCTACAAGTTTGGTGGTACAGGTTGTTTGTGGGTTTCTTTTTTTTTTTTTTTTTCAAATAGGTAGCAAGTGCCAGATTCAAAATGTTACTTTTCAAACTATATTATTGGACTTGTCCCTTCCAGGATTGTCAGCCATGAGAAAATGTGGATAATGTTTGTATTTGTCGGTCTTATTTAAGCAACTCTTGCCTTTTAAAAATAATGGAGTCTACGGCCATGCCACCCTGAGCGAGCCCGATCCCGTCTGATTTCAGAAGCTAAGCAGGGTGGGGCCTGGTTAGTACTTGGATGGGAGACCACCTAGGAAGACCAGGTGCTATAGGGGTAAAAAATAAAAAATATAAGGGGGAT